TATAAAATTCCGTGTGACTTCTGCCCAAGTCGGAGAACTTTGAGCACGCTGCAGAGTGACTTAAGAGAATTCCTGACTCGTGGCAGAGTGAATCGATAGCCTGATCAACTATCGATTTTTCTCCCCGTCGCCAAACGCTATCCCTCGACGTAACCCCTTTTCCTGCATGCCTGGTTCGTTTATGGATTCGCTGGCCCGGGTTTTTGCCAGCTGGAGCAACTTGTGTAATTATTTAAGCGATCGGACCACCTGCGTCGCGGCTACTAGCAGCGTAAGTAAAGCCTTTTTGCAACCAATATGTTTTGTCTGCCTCTCCATTCACCAGCCCACGCAACGGCCGAGCAATTTGTAGATCACCTCAAGTCGGCTCCGGCCGTCTGAGACACATGAATAGGCTGTTCTTAATGACTTTTTCAGTCCCTGTATTGCTATCCATCTCCTTCCTTCTGGCAAAGCCCATGCAGATAGCGGCTTTCAAGTTCCTATTCATGGTCCACTTGAGCACTGGCTGCTGACTCGTGGCTATGATCTAAATTAGAGGCTTGTTTTTATTACTTTGTGTTTACTTTTTGTTTATTACTTTGTGTTTATCTGATTGTACATTCTTAGGGAGGTATACGCTCAGCTCTTGTGCACATCGATAGCTCTCACTGCAATCAAAATGGAGTGCAATTAGATTAGGACTGGAGAATAGATTTTTGTCTTACCTCTGTGGTAAAAACACTCCTGAACAAAGTTATTGCTCCTGAACATTGGTGAAATTGTTCTCCTGAAATCTTGGTTAGGTGTATATGATTAATATATCATCAATGCAAGATTAACCCCAAAGTCATTGCTGAGCTCAGACCATATTTTTTCTTCCCTGTCTTAGTTTCGATTTTCTTCATCTTCTGAGATTTTCATGATGACTCTTGGTAGTTTCTGTGCTATTCTTCATGGAGCAGCCCAACCATGCATGTTGCTTGTCTTTGGTATAATGACAGACACATTTGTTCAATATGACATTGAGAAGCAGGAGCTTAGAGATCCAGGCAAAACATGTGTGAATAACACCATAGTGTGGATCAACAGTTCCCTTCACCAAAATGAAACTAACCCATCAATAAGTTGTGGGTAAGTAGTCCATGGATTTGATTTTTTTTTCTTTGCTGTCAGGTATTTTAAGTGCTAGTGAAGGCCAGTTCTGCCTCAGAGGCTGAGTTTTCTATACGTAGACCAGAAAGAACAAGGGCAAGTTTTCTACTAGTGAGCCCCAACTCTGACTTAAAGGCACCGTCTGTAGGAACAGGAAGGTAGTTCATGTCTGTGCAGTCATTCGGACTTCTGATCTACCAGAAATTGCTGTCAGCAGGGATGCTCCTTAGGGAAAGTACTTTTTCTCTCATAGGAACACTTGTCTACTAGGAACAACCTAAGAACAGCAATGTATTTGATAAAGATCACTGGGCATTCATTAGATTATAATGCATTTTGGTGAATTCCCATCTTCCTGGACCAGATTTGAAGCTATGACCCTAGATATGGTTCTGTATAGGGTTACAAATCATTTAATTACCTGAGAATATTACATCTTAGGGTCCCTGACATTTTGTGTGTGTAATTCTTAGTTTATGCAGGAGCTTTTAAGTGCTTGGAATTGTTCTTTCTGCCTTCAAAATCTGCTCATTTTGAATTTGAGCTTGTAAGAAAATAGAATGGTGCCTACTATCATTAGCACATAGAGAAATCTAGAGAACCAGCTAGGGAACTCCAAAGAAATATTTTTAAATAACTTTAGTATCAGAGAATTGATATTCTTCAGAAGTATTATAGAGACTATAGTAATTCTATGTGACCTAAAACATCTGACCATTTTCATTGGTTAACTTTGTAACTGTTCAAAATAATATTTGACATTTGGATGTACTTTAACAACAGCTGTTCTTATTAATCTGTAGAACACTGATTTTTGTAACCATGTTAGCTACCATAATGGTATAAAGTAACTAAATTCAGTTATCCAAAGAAAATATGTTGGTCCTCCCCCAGTGCAATTCTCTATTTGACCTTTTCATTGCATGAGGCTTGGTAGCATTTCACAGCCATCCCTTACAAACTTACATTTCACAACATCCTTTACAAACTACTCTTCCATGGCACAGAAGGTATGGTGAGAACCTCCTTGGCCTTCCCAAGTCCCTGATCTTTGCTAAGAGTAGACTGAGTATTAATGAAAAGTGATATCATTGATACTGATAACAGAAGTATTTGGATCTCCAGGATGCATCAAATTTAGAAGCATACTCAAAATACCTTTAAGATTCAAGGCAATGGATGTCCTTGAAACACTATTAAGGGTTTTTTTAAGCTTTCCAAAATGTATAATGCTATTGTTTGTTTTTGTTTAAGGTTACTGGACATTGAAAGTGAAATGACCAAATTTGCAGCTTACTATGCAGGAATTGGCTGTGCAGTGCTTGTCCTGGGATACTTCCAAGTCAGTATTTGGTTCCCTAGGTTATTTCCTGTATATAAAATGATAAACTATTGTTTCATAACAGTCTCCTAGATTCCACTCCAGTATATAAGGGAAAAAAACATGGGCTTTGTAATGCTTCAGATGCTAATCTTGTGGCCTGGCACTTCAGCATATACAGGTGACTAGCCCTCAGAATTCAAGTTGTCCATTAGCTTTCTGCTGGGCCTTTCCATGAGTGTGAACCTAAGTCAGTCACCCAGGAAGATTAGAACCAGCTGCTGCCTTCAAACCATATGAAAGTTTGGTTCGCAATGGTCAGTGGCAGAATATAATGAGAGCCAAGTTCTGAGTGTCACACTCAAATATCTGTATGGATAAGGCATTTGCTTTGTACACTATAAAATGTAATGTAATTTCCCCGAGCTGGTAAATGGCTCCATTCAATTTTCACTTATATTGGAAAAATCTGAAGTAGCTGCAATAAAGGCTAGGAAGATACAGTAGTATAAAATTGGTTTAAGAGGTGAATTGGGCCCAGAAGTTTCTATAATAATAGTTTGTGCTACTGCAGTTCATATCTGTGTGATTTGAACCATACCTGTAGAGCATGCTACTGTGGGATTTTTTAAATTATTATTGTACTTTCCCTGTCTTCGTATTTGTCAATTGAAAAAGCCATTTTCATGGAGTTTTGATGATTCAAAAAGATGGCCACCCCAGAGGGCTGCGTGTCAGCAGGGAATGAAGAGTGGCTATAGTCTGTAGGCATAGGAAATAGTGTAAATAGGGGTGGCAAGGAAGGCCAAGTGCTGAATTAGAGGGGCTTCAGAATGATGGCTGTGGTAGCAACAGGCAGGTGCAAAGACAGTCACAGCTGTTGTAGCAGCAAGAGCAACCAGGCGTGGGCAAAACACATTGTGGCAGCTAGGGACTTTGAGTCCCCGAGGCGGACAAGAATGGACCCTCATTCCCTCCTACCTGCGCTCTCTGGTGCTTAGAACTCCCTTCCCTCTCCCTCCCCTCTAGAGCATAGTGCTGGCTAGTTATGCCTCTGGGCTCAGGCAGGTATAGATATACATAGCCTCCATGCAGCCCCACTGATATTAGTTGTCTTGGCACCACCTCTCCCTCTCTTGCAACTGAGGCAGCTGCTTTGCCAGATTCTGTAAGGCAGGATTAATTACAGATAAAAGGCATGATATTAAACCCTTTGCAGCTGGAATCCTTTTAATCATAATAGTAATCTCATCAAGAACCATGTTACGGTATTTGCATTTGTGGGAGTAGAAAGGATTTTCTTTTATTGCAACTCAGAAGTCACCTTATTCTCTTTCCAGATCTGCCTTTGGGTAATATCTGCAGCTCGACAGATTCAGAAAATCAGGAAAGCTTATTTCAGGAAAGTAATGGGAATGGATATAGGCTGGTTTGATTGCACATCAGTTGGAGAACTGAATACACACATTTCTGAGTAAGTAGTCCTGCTACACTGCATATCTTTGTGTTTTCTAAGGTTTGGTGAGCAGCAGAGCAGCATATAAAACCACTGTGGGCCCCCATACATTCAATTAATGAAGGGCCAGATTAAAAAAAGGACTTCAGTGCTTTAAGAAGGGTTTAAGGTAAATCTAGGTACCAAAGCTGCAAGCTGAAAATCCCTGCTCATCTGCCACCTAAATCAGGAGCTGTGGAAACTTCATAGGTGCTTCACTTTTTGACTTCAGGGTTCCCCAAGTGCCTAGAGTTTTGCCTCTCAACTTGTCCAGAACTGCCCTATCTTGATAGAGTTGAGCAGCTTAGTTCATGTCTAAGCTAAACTGGGAGCCACAGACTTATCCAATGACTGTAGAGTGTAAAGCACAAACACAGTTTTGATAGCGTGCCTGAGACACAGGGTAGCAGCTTCAACATGAGGGATGAAGAGCTGCTCCCACTCAAATTAGTCTACAATGTGGTGGTTAGAGCACTCCTTTGGTAGGTGGCGATTTGAATCTCCTCGGCCAGAGGGAAGAACTGACTCTGGGTCTCCCACTCCCTGAGCAAGTGCTCTCACCACTAGTCCATTATTCAAAAGAGTCACTCCTATTACTCATCATGTTGATGTTGTAAGATAAAATGGGGAGTTCTATTGAATCCTTTGAAAGGAAGGACATAGGCTAGCCCCTACAGCAGTAGGTTCAGGCTGCAGCTCTAGCATAGAAGGAGATGTCCCCTTAGAGTCCTGAATAAAGTGCCTACACACCTAACAGAGGGTTCTGGCTTCCACTTTGGGGGCTGGGCACTGGAAAGTTGGGTGTTACAACACCCCCCACATCTTGGACTAAGTCTCCACGTCTCATAATAGATCTTGCTCTAAAAGCCTACGTCATATCCTGCTACCTTCATTAAACATTAATCCAGATTGTAAAGTTCTGATGCAAAGCCTACTAAGGTTGTTGGAACTTGTTGGGCTTGAATAGGAGCCAAAACCTGTGCTCTAACTCAGAAAAAACAATGTGGATACTTTGGTGATTGGAGCTATAAAAATATTTAGCTAGACAGGCTGTTTCATGGGATTAAATTTTATGATACCACCTAAAGAGCTTGTAGCTGGAAAACTGGATATTGCCAAGAAGTAAAGGGTTCCCTTCGAGTTTCCCATTCACAAAGACAAAATTTTGCATGTCGTCAAAATGGATGCTGCTGCCAAACTGCTGTTAGTTTGATTTTCTTCTTCTTCTTATCTGTCCAGGCTTCCTGAAAGTGGTGATAGCAAAAAAATAGGGGACAGGAAAGTTGCAGAATTCTCAAACCAAAAACAATAAATAATATTTATTAAAATAAAATTCAGCTCAGAATGTAATGGAGATGTAAAGAGATTCCACTGTCACCACTTGTCCTGTTTTTTACAGCGATGTTAACAAAATAAGTGATGCTATCTCTGACCAAGTAGCAATCTTTATCCAGCGCTTCAGCACCTTTATTTGTGGATTCCTGTTAGGATTTGTCAGTGGCTGGAAACTGACTTTGGTCATTATTGCAGTCAGTCCTTTGATTGGGATTGGAGCAGCCATCTATGGCTTGGTAAGATATTTTTATGTAGTTTGTTTCTAAATATGATGGTTATTCATGGCAATGTATCATTTATTTGGGGCCCAGATTCTGATTACAGTGCACTGCAATAAGTAGAGGGTACCTTTCCTAAGGGTGGATCCACACTGCTGGGAAGTTTATAGTTACATGGCAACACAGAGTTCCTCGTGAAATAATTTCCCCGCTTCTTGGCAGGGTAAATTAGCCCGTGAAGAGCTCTGTGATGCTACTGCTAGGCTGCTGCCAGCACTTGAGCTAACTCATGTATCTCTAAATTATGCTGCAGGGGAGATGTTCAGTCAGTTGGCTGACTGTTGTTGAGATTATAATCTGGCCACTTGCTTTCTTTTAATATAATATACATATTAAGTTAGTCATTTTTATGGGGTTTGAATTCTGTGCCTATGTTAGGGGAGAATTCTGGTAGGACTTTGTAACTCATTTTCCCTGTCCTTTTTCTTCATTTTGCCCAACCAGATCACATATTTTCCCTTTTCCTCCTTGCAAATGTAGAAGACACTTTTCTGTTGAGGTGTGAAATGAAGTATTAAAACAAAAATACACCTTAAAATCTGTGAGCATCTGTTCTTGATTCTCCTATCTTTGATATGGTGTCTGGCATTTGCTTTATTTCCCTTTCTATTTCCCTTTCACTCTACTGCCCTTTCTATTTATTATTTTGCTCCTCTCTCCATTATAACCTGCCTGCCTGCCTCCTCTCTCTTCTTTCTAGCTCCTGTCTCTGTTTTCTCAACATAGCTGATCTCTTCAGTTTCTGTGCCACCACTTCTCCCTCAGTGGCTCTACTTGCCCACTAGCTGATGGATTGCCTTCTTATTATTGGTTCTCAATGTTCCTAATCGTCCCTGGGCATGAGATGGAAGAACCTAAGCTATGTTCAGCCCCTGGGTAGCACCAGAGATGACTACTCTTATGAAAGCAAAAGGGCTTTAGAAGAGAAGCATTGCAACTGCTTTGTCACTGCTTGTTCATCTAGAACTAGGTACAATGGAGACGTTAAGCACCTAAACATCAGCGTTGCACTGCCTAATTTTTCAGGCACTTAGCCTCTGCAGGGGAATCCAGAACCCTGAGTTTAGCACCTAGCCCTCAACAGCACAGGCCAAGTGTTAGGCACTTCAGAATGGGAATCGCAAGTGGGCTGCTGAATTAACCAATAGAAATGCCAAAGACGGGGGTATGTCTTAAATGCTGCTCCTCAGAGATGTTCCTTTCATCTGTTGAGATCCACAGCCTGGAGCTCTCACCCAAAGGTAGGGCCTGACATACTTTTTTAGTCTTATTAAAAAACTGAGCAGGGCTCACTTGTAAACTATACAGCCAGGGGAGAAGCCCACTTTTCCTGTAATCCCTGAGTAGTTAGAGCACTTGCCCAAGAAGGTCTTTTCAAGTCCTGCCTCTGAAGAGCAGAAGCCCACATCTCCTCTCTCTCAGGATAGCAAAGTTTGGCTAGAGGCTCCTTCCATCCTTCCTGTTGACGCGGTCATGTTCAGAAAGAAATGCAAGATTCAGAGAGGGAGAGGGAGGAGAAGCAGGGGTGGGTGTGCAGGGGAAGAGGAAGAGGGTGAAGGAAAATGACTGTGTGGTTGGGGCATATGGCTGGGAGAGAGTCCTGGATTCAGTCCCTACTCTCATGACTACATTTTATCCAGTGACTGCTTAGTGTAAACTACTCAGTTGGGAAGGTGGGAGGTGCAGCTGTTTTGAAGGCTGCAATTGTGAACTAAGGCACCTAAATTCTGCCATGTTAGGTGCTTGAGCCCCTTTTTTTGGATCTGGCTTTGCTACAGATTGCAACATGCAAACAAAAAGGGAGGGGAATGCTAAGACCTCTATCTAAGCTGTCTCTGTAGTTACACTGTTGGCAAAGCAGTATGGTTAGGTGGGCAGGAGGGGTACTCTCACATAGCTGTTTGCTGCTTTTCTTCACTCCTGACTGTCAGCTCAATGAGTGGAGACTGGGAAGCACTTTGGCTTTGCAGTTGCTCATCTCCTCTCCTTCCAGCTGGGAACTTCTGTGATTCCTTCCCTTGCTGCTTAACCCTTCTCTGTGCCCATTTAGGTGCAATGAGGGGAGGGGACTGTGAAACAGGTTGTTGTTAGTTTCTCTCTACATTTAATTACACTTGGAACAGGGTAGCTATCTTAATGCATGTGTGTGTCAAGACCTTGTGTGAGAAGGGGTTTATGTCCTAGTGGTACAAGGGTGATGATTCTGAAATGAGTAAGTGTGTGATAAAAATCTGCTCCAAGCCTGTTTGGGAAGTACGCAGTACTAGCCATTCTGTGTGACGGTGAGGTGTGCTCACCTACTGTGTTAGTACTGTAATATAAACACCAAAATTGGGGCAGAATACCCTTTTTTGCCAGCAACATCTTTTTTGGCTTCTAGGCTGTAGCCAAACTGACAAGCCGAGAGTTAAATGCCTATGCAAAAGCTGGGGCTGTGGCTGATGAAGTGCTCTCATCCATCAGAACTGTGGCAGCTTTTGGTGGGGAGAGGAAAGAAGTTGAAAGGTTTGTTCTGTGAAATTTCAGTGAATTACTTGATTCTTTAAATTCAAACAATAGGGGGGGAAATGCTCATAAGAAGCTTTGGGATCCTGACAGTTAGTATCACTCCTTCACAGTAATGATCTCCTGGCAGCATTAAGAAATCATACACATGGATAAACCATAAAGTCATTCTGTCAGCCCACTGGAGGCACAACTCAGTCATCGACAATCACACGTTTTAACTCAGGCAGCCAGTGAGTCAAAGGAGCACAATAACACCTGCCAATCCACCAATATATTCAGGAACTTTCTGTCAAACCCAGGCACAATATTACAATATTTCTCTACCTTAAGATAGTATTTGGAGGGGGGGAGGGTTGATGAGAGCATTTTTGAGAGAAGTCCAGTTAGGAAACTGGGTTTGATTATATGAAGAAGTCAGGACATTTTCCATAGGCCTATAGATTAACTGTGTCATAGTTAAATTATCAAGGATTCTTTCTTAACGTAAATTATTGCTGTCATCAACAGGAGGCATGAGACATTTAAAATTATTAAAGGGCACTACAGATCCATGAACCCCAAAGTAAAGTTTTTTAAATAAAGAGCTGATAGAATGAATAATTGCACAGGAATTTTTAAAAGACCGTGGCGGTATCTTCTATCTTTCCATTAGAATTTTCAGGTTATATTATTAAGTGATTTACTAGTCTTTGCAGTTAGCTGTATTACCTTCATACTGCACTACTCTTTTAAGTTAATTTAGAAGTGGCTATGGTTGCAGGATTGTTACAAATTGCCAAAGGCTTCTCCTGCATCAGCAGAGCTTAAATTCATTTGGTCAGTTATCTGTGGTAACTATGTTATTTTCCTGTATTCAGTAGTGTAACTAGGACAAGGCAAGTGGGGTACCAGGCCTGGGCCTGACTAGGGAGTGCTGGAGTTGCCCCCAACTTCAGGAATCTTTGCTATGGCATACACAGCCCTGCACTGTCCCTACTCAGCCATAGTAGCTAGGTAGGGCAGCACTACACTCACCAGTGTAGCTGGGAGACAGGAGGCCATCAAAATGGTGCTCCCCACCACCCCAAGGAGTCTTTGCCACAGAGGGTGCAGCCCTGTACTTACTAATATATTAGGAGGTGAATGGTAGGGCTGTGCACAGCTTCAGTAGCCGATTCGATTTGGAGGAGATTCGACCTGATTCAGGCACCAAATCTCCGAATCCGAATCAAATTGGGAGACCAATGAAAAGCTCTGAATCAATTTGAAGGATCTGGATCAATTTGGAAAAAGATTCAGAAAAGATCTGGCGATTCAGCCATAGATTAAACAGGCAGCTGCCACAGCTGCCTCCAGCTGGCAAGTCTGTTGGGGTTGGGGAGGGGGGGAGGAAAGGGGCGTGGAGGAGGGAGGGATTGGGGCTGGGGCTGGGATAGGCTGTCCAGCTGGGGCAGGGGATGTGGGACTCAGGGAGGGGGGCAGGGGGAGCAGGATTTGGGTGCGGCAGCACCAGGAGTGGGGCCTATGCCCTGCTGCCACGTGCCCCTTTCTGCCCAGAGTGAGCCGTGTCTGCATCCCGTCCCCCCAACCCTGGCTGCGCAAGCAGCAGAAGGCAGAGCCCCTGCTCCGAGTGCTGCTGTGCCTGCATCCCACATGCTCCCCCCGGCCTCCTTCCCTGAGTAACATGCCTGCCTGTTTAGTCTATGACTGAATCTCCGAAATGGCGCCAAATCTTTTGGATCTGATTCGGCCGAATTGAATCGGGACAATGAGTCGAATTTCCAAATCAAATCACCGTCCTCCAAATTGGCCGAATCCAAATCCAAAGTGTATACTTGCTGCTTCGCACAGGCCTAGTGGATGGGGAGTGAACTGGGAATCAGGGATAACTTCCCCAGCCATGGGACTCCTGCTGTGAACAGTGCTATAGCAGCAGCTTTCACTCTGCAGAGAGCAGCAGCAGGTAAAACTTCACTCCCCCTCTCTTCCACTCAGCTCCAGCCCCTCCCTCCACCCCGCAAACTCTCTGGTGATTGGCGTATGCCATTCCCTTCTCCCCTCCCCCTCCCAGTCCTAGAGGAGTTCATTATGCTGCAGTAGAACAGGGATGACCAACCTCTCCACAGGTGGCATAGATAGCTCTGTTTGTGGCATGTGGCAGACAGGGGAGGGGACAGGCAGCACCGCTGCAGATAGAGCACAAAGCAGAGTATGAAATCATGCAGGAATACAGGGCAGGAAGCAGAAAGCAGAGCAGCAGAGGGCATGGGGATAATTTGTGGGACGCCTGCCAAAAAAGTTGGTTCCTACTTCAATAGAATATATGATTTTCCTGTCTACAACTGCTGCTACGCCCATTGGAATCACTGTCAGCTTTGAAAATTATTTCAATTGGATCAGTATTGGGCCCTCACTGACAAAATGTTAAGGTTTTTAAGGCACCCACTATATTCCATTTGTATTCTATTCCAGCCATTGTATTACTGAAGTGGCATCACTCTGTGAAACAGACTCATTATATTAGTCCTCTCAGGTCTAGTTTTCTATCAAATGCATTTTTTCCAATTTTATTTTTTATTCTCTCCGCAGATATGATAAAAACCTAGTGTTTGCTCAGCGCTGGGGAATTAGAAAAGGGATAATAATGGGATTCTTCACTGGTTACATGTGGTTTATAATATTCCTATGTTATGCATTAGCCTTTTGGTATGGCTCAAAACTTGTCCTGGAAGAAGAAGAGTATTCGCCTGGGACTCTTCTACAGGTACTCATTAAAGTCTTTGCACTCTTTTCCTTAGTTTTTAGGAACTGTCCCTGAGCACATACATTATTTATCTTCTGGGTATCAGAACAGTAATACTGTGTGCCTGAGCATTACTAAAATAATTATATGTAGCAGGAAATAGTTTTTGCCATTTTACATGGGAGCAAAATCAAAACCTTGCAATGTTTTTGTGGGAGAGAGAAAAGAGAGAGTGGGCAGGGTAGAGATGGAAACTGCCCCCAAAATGGCCATTAAAGTACTGATTCAGAAATTCACCTGACATATGAATGTCCTGGCTATAACTCTGGCAGACTAAAGATTTGAACTTGTGTATCCTAGCTGAGTACCCTAATAATATGCTTATGGATATTTTGGGGTGTATTTCTTTCTTTGATCAGAATTTCCACCTTTGACCCAAGATACCTTCCTAATGAATGGATCATTGCAATCAATTCTTTCACATGAAAAAGCATTTTCTGTTGAAAAATTCCCAACCATCTCTAATGATTATATATGTAGTGTACATGACAGAACTATAAATCCACATTCTGTTCCATGCAAACTTTAAATTCTGGTGACTACAGAAGTGCCCTGTGTGCAGTGGGGCATGGTGATTATATTCCCTTGACATATATATAATTCTGGAGGCTATCATGTAGAGCTGAATGGCTACTTTAGATACCAGTGATTTAAATGCTACAGACCCTGAATCCTAGATGTTTTAATTATTCCTTACTCTATGCATATTGCCATCAGATAAAATAACCTGAAAACTCCACTTGATATTAATAGTACATACAGGCCAATGCAGCAAAAAGCAAGTCCTAGATTTTCTTGATTTGTACCCCATAATTGTAGCTCGCTATTCCCACCTGACACATAACAACCAGCAGGGAACGGTCTTGTAACTGACAAATTGTAGTTGTCAGTGCACAGGGGACTTCTCTAATGCTGCTGCCCTTTCCCCTCTGGTTTCTCTTGGCATTGTCAAGCACCTTTTTTGAGCTTTAAATTTCTTTCTTAGTATGCTCCAAATATACCTGTTCTGATCACAAAGGATTGTAGTGTGCATCCAATTAAGTGCTAACCCAGCATGGCTGCCCCTTATTATGGTGACCAACGCTATTGAGCCTTTCCTTTCTTGCTTACACTGATTTCCCCCCCCTATAGTTTCATAGTTTCATAGTAGGTAAGGTTGGAAGGGACCTGAGCAGATCATCAAGTCTGACCCCCTGCCATGGGCAGGAAAGAATGCTGGGGTCAAATGACCCTGGCAAGGTGTCTATTTAGCCTCCTTTTAAGAAAATTTTAAGAAGGGGAGGAAGGAGGACCCAAGTAATTATAGGCCTGTAAGCCTCACCTTGGTGCTGGGGAAGATCTTGGAGAGAATCATCAAGGAGCACATCTGTGGGGGGCCAGCAGGGGAGATCATGCTCAGGGGCAATCAGCATGGGTTCATCAAAGGCAGGTCCTGCCTGACCAACCTGATTGCCTTTTATGACCAAGTAACTAAATCTTTGGATGATGGTGTCACCATAGACGTAGTCTTTCTAGACTTTAAGAAGGCCTTTGACACTGTCTCTCACCCCATCCTCATCAATAAATTAGGTGACTGCGGCATTGATGCCTACACAGTTGGATGGGTAAAAAATTGGCTGATGGGGTGCACCCAGAGAGTAGTGGTGGACGGGTCGTATTCAACCTGGTGAGATGTGAGCAGTGGGGTCCCCCAGGGCTTGGTCCTTGGGCCCGCACTGTTTAACATCTTCATCAGCGACATGGACAAGGGAGTTGAAAGTGCGTTGTCCAAGTTTGCTGATGACACTAAAATGTGGGGCAAGGTGGACACACTTGAAGGGAGAGAGAGGCTGCAACTAGATTTAGACAGACTACAAAAGTGGGCAGATGAGAATAGGATGGGGTTCAACATAGACAAATGCAGGGTGCTGCACCTTGGGAGAAGGAATCCACAGCATACATACAGGCTGGGGAGTTCCCTTCT